CTGGCTGGCTCTGTCAGTAGAGCATGCGACTCTTGATCACAGGTTTGTGAGGTCAAGTCCCACATTGGGCATGGAGCCTACTTTAAATAAATAAATAAACTAATTAGTTAAAAAATAAATTCTTAATGTGTGTGTGTTCTTAACAAGAAAACATCAAATTATGTGAGGAAAAACCGATAGAACTGCAGGGAGAAATAGATGAATCTGCTCCAACTATATAAAAAAATGGACAAATTCAGCAGGCAGACATAGGACAGAGTTGAACTCAACATCACCATTAATCATATTGGATATAGTTGACGTCTATCAACTGTTTCACACAACAATGGCAGAATACATATTCTTCTTAAGTTTACATGGAAAATTCACCAAGATAGACCCCATTCTGAGCCATAAAACACATCTTCACAAATTTTTTTTTAAGATTTTATTTATTTATTTGAGAGAGAGAGAATGAGAGATAGAGAGCACGAGAGGGAAGAGGGTCAGAGGGAGAAGCAGCCTCCCCGCTGAGCAGGGAGCCCGACATGGGACTCAATCCTGGGACTCCAGGATCATGACCCAAGCCGAAGGCAGTTGCTTAACCAACTGAGCCACCCAGGCGCCCCCACAAATTTAAAAGAATAGAAATTAGGGGCAAAACTGGGAGCTTTTCCCTTAAGGTCAGGAATAAGACAAGAATGTCCATTCTCATCACTGTTACTGAACATAGTACTGGAAATCCTAGCCACAGCCATCAGACAACAGAAAGAAATAAAAGGCATCTAAATCGTTAAGGAAGAAGTAAAACATTCACTATTGCAGATGACATGATACTATATATAGAAAACCCAAAAGACTCCACCAAAAGAATTACTAGAACTGATAAATGAATTCAGTGAAGTTGCAAGATACAAAAGCGGGGGAGGGGCAGAGGAAGAAGCAGACTCCCCACTGAGCATGGAGCCTGACCTGGGGCTGGGTCCCAGGACCCTGAGATTAGGACCTGAGCCAAAAGCAGACACTTAACTGACTGAGCCACCTAGGTGCCCCTAAACAACATAATTCTAAATAATATATGGTCAAAGAAGAAATTCCATGGAAAATTAAAACATATTTTGAACTAAATGAAAATGTAAATACAATTTATTAAAACTTGTGAGGTGTGGGGCGCCTGGGTGCCTCAATCGGTTAAGGGTCTGCCATCTGCCTTTGCCTTAGGTCATGATCAGTTCAATCCTGGGATCGAGCCCCGCATTGGGCTCCCTGCTTCTCCCTTTCCCCCTCTTCCCTGCTCGTGCTCTCTCTCTGTCAAATAAATAAAATCTTAAAAAAACCACAAAAACTTGTGAGGTGTGCTGCAAAATCAGTGCTTAAGGGAAAATCATAGCACTGAATGCATTAGAATAGAAGAAAAATCTAAAATCATTCACCTAAACTTTCATCTTAGGAAACTAGAAAAAGAATAGCAGGAAAAAATAATAAAAAGTAGAGCAGAAATCAATGAAATTGAAAACAGGAAAACAATATTGAGAATCAATAAAACCAAAAACTGGTTTTAGGAAAAGATCAACAAAATCAACAAGCCTGTAGCAATGCTAACTGAAAAGGTATGGATTGAAGGGAAATGGGCAAGACAGAATTTATGAAAGGGGAAGTTGAGAGCATTAACTTGTTTATATGTCTCCAACTCTGTCCAAGCGAAACTGTATTCTATCTAGCACAGTTGCGTATCTGCTTCAATTGGCAGGTTGTCCATAATGGGAATGATTGCATGCAGGTTTTTACAAGATATCACTACCTATCAAGTTAATCTTATTAATTTTACTGGCTCTGAGTCATGGTGAAAAAGCAATCCCAAGATTATAATCTACCTCTTTTTTTTTTTAAGGAAGAGTTTTCTTTTCTTTTTAAAAAAAGATTTTATTTATTCATTTGACAGAGAGCACAAGGAGGGGGAGCAGCGGGCTCCTTGCAGGAGCCCGATGCAGGGCTCGATTCCAGGACCCTGAGATCATGACCTAAGCCAAAATCAGACGCGTAACCAGCTGAGCGACCCAGGCGCCCCTATAATTTACCTCTTTATGTAATTATTTCTCTGGGGGTGATAATGCCCTGGCTGATTTACATAAGTTATCCAATGGTCTTGGTAGATGTAATTTGCATTGTTAATTAATTTAGTAACAATCTAGGGTTATATAGGTGAAGGGAACTGAAACTCCTAACCCTGTCATCAGATGAGAAACTATCTGAACACAGAAGCATCCAGTGGCTTTAGGCAGGGCCATTTCAGTTCATGAGTATGCCTTTTGAAAATAAAGAGAATCCTTACTACAGTAGAGTAGGAAGGATAGAAAGGGAGGTTAGAAGCGGAGCCAGTACCACTCAACATCAATTACCGGAAGAATTGTCAATTATAGACCCCAACAGAAGAATTTTAAACAGGGCAGAATCATCAATTACAGTCTCTAATGGGGAAAGAAGTACATTGCATCTTCTACAAAAAATCTACCCCTGCAACTCAGCCAGTGAGAAACCATCATCATGTAGAACTCATGTCCAATGGATTTTCAGAACAATCTCCCCCAACTTCCTCCTTCTTCTCCATAAAATAATGTTCCTCTCCTTTGTTTGTTGGATTTGCCTATGGTTTTACCTTAGAGTGCATGTTCTGAATTGCAATTCTGTTATTCCCAGATAAAACCATTTTTGCTGGCTTTCTTTTTAAGGTTAACACCTTTTGTCATGAAAATTAGGCCAGAAATATGATTTTAACATAACAAAGCCATGTTGTTTCAGAAGGCAACTAACAGTCTTCGTAAGAAAATGTGTTTTCCAGGTGGCAAATATGTTTGCCTTGAGGTATATCTGAAGATAAAGTGGTTATAGCTTCATTGGTGGAGACAACTAAGTATTGGTTAAGGATCCACTCATAAAACCAAAGCTTATCCCACCAGGGATCTGTCAGAAGTCTCAGCAGTGGAATACTTATTGGCATCGGGCTGACGCCAGCAGAATTTGACAGACTCAAGGGACTTGGAATAATACACAGACGTATAGTGAAATAGATAATTTCATTTTGTAGTCTGCAAATATTTATTGGGCACCTATTGTGTATAAGACCCATTCAAGGACCTGAATGTATATACCAGTGAATAGAGTCCCTGTTTTAATAGTGCTTACATTTTACTAGGGGAATTCACAAAATACAAAGAAATTATATGTCAGCTGTTAAGTTCTACAGTGAAAAATAGAGTAAGGGAGGGGCACCTGGGTGGCTCAGCGGTTAGACGTCTGCCTTCCGCTCAGGTCATGATCCCGGGATCCTGGGATCGGGCCCGCATCAGGCTCCCTGCTCGGCGGGAGGCTTGCTTCTGCCTCTCCCTCTCCCCCTGCTTGTGTTCCCTCTCTCACTCTCTCTCTCTGTCAAATAAATAAATACAATCTTTAAAAAACAAACAAAAAAAATAGAGTAAGGGAGAAAAAGGGATGCTATTTTCTTAAAAAAAGGATGAGGAATGCTTTACTGATGTCTTAGAAAGTTTGGGCTGCTATAACAAAAACACCGCAGACTGGATAGATTACAAACAAATTTTTTTTTTTTCTTAAGTTCTGTGGGCTGGAAGTCCAAGATAAGGTGATTATGTGAGTGCCATCTTTCAGGTCCCAGACTTCTTGTAGTCTCACATAGTGCGAAGGGCTAGGGAGCTCTGTGAAATCAATTTCATAAGAATACTAATCCCATTCATAAGGGCTCCTCCCTCAGGATCTACTTTCAAAGGCCCTACCTCCTTCAAAGGACGTCAACATATGAATTTGGGGAGGACACAAACATTCAGGGGTATGACTATACCAACGGAAAAGGTGATTCTTCAGCAGAGACTTGAAGATTGTGTGTGGACATCTGGGGAAGGAGCATTCCACGTAGAGGGACAGCTTATGTAAAATCACTGAAAATGGAGTATCCTTTGTGAATTTTAGGAGCAGCAAGGAAGACTTTGTCTGGACTGAAATAAAGGAAGGCCAAAATAGTTGGGAGAAGTTAGAGAGCTAAGTGTGGGAGGAAAACACAGGTCCCTTGCTCGCTGTTTTAAGTGGGATGGGAAACTACGGGAGGGTTTTTAGCAGAGGAGTGACATCTTATTTCTATGCTAAAAGATCACTTTGCTTACTGTGTTGGGAATAATCCATGGGTAGGGAGAGTGCATAGGCAGAGGCTATCATAATAATCTAGAAAAGATTTAGTGGTAACTCACAGAGTGGTAGTGGTAGTGTGTATAAAAAGAGTAAAGGAATGGACATGGCTGTGTTCCAACAAACTTTACAACACTAAAACGTGAATTTCACCTAATTTTCAAATGTCACTAAATATTCTTATATTAATTTTTATATACATACCAAGGAAGACTGCAAAACCTAAAATACTCTGGCTGTTCACAGTTTGCCAAGTTTTGGTATAGATGAAACAAAATAGGACATTAGTTGGTAATCTTTGAAGATGGGTGATGGTATGTGGAGTTTCATTATACTAGTTTACTTTTGTATATGGCTGACATTTTTCATAATACAAAGTTTTTAAAATGTTCAGGTGTACCAGAGGTGATTAATCTATGTGTCTTCCCATCTCCTTTCGACAAATATCTCCTGAAAGTTGTCTATATCTGGTAAATGCAGCCTTTGCTTGTTTTCCTGAAAAAGCAAAAACACTTTGAAGCCTTTAGTATTGTCAAAATAATCCCTTTGGATTGGACATTTCGCAACTTCGAAAGTAGAAGGCAGAAACGCGATTGGGGAAAAGGACTTTTGTTTTTGTTTTGTTTTCACAATAGTATACGCTCCGAAGACCAATCCCCTTTTTACAAAAAATGAAGACAAAAATCCCCTTTAGTTAGCACTCCAGGATTCTCCGCCCTCAGATGAATCCCGGAAATGACGCCATCAGCCAAATGCTACCGTCCCCAGTAGTGGCGGGGCAAGAACGTCAGCACGTCGGTCATCCTACACGTCCAGCCTGGGTAAGACTGACTAGAACGCCCCAGCTGGCGCAAGTCCCCAAATCTTCGGGAGCACGGCCGACTGCGACTGCGCAGGAATGCTGGGGCGGGTCTTCACGTCACCCCGCCCCCTTCCAGCCTGTGCGACCAATGAACAGCTCCTGCCCCGGGGCCCGATAAATCCTTGGAGGCCGTAGTGATTAGCCGAGAGAACAGCCCCGCCCTTGGCTCCTCCAGGCCCTCACTCCCCACCTCGCGCCGTCGCCGCCCCGCCTCCCTCTGCCGCCCGCCTGTCCTGCTGCGAGGTGACACAGGGCTTCGCCTGGGGAAGGGGACGAGGGAAGTAAGTTAGATGTCGGCCTAGCGGCCTTGGCGCAGCCCCCAACGTGAGCGCGGTGAGGGGAGCGGGTCGTAGGGAAGAAGGGGCCGCGTGGCAGATGTGGGAGGGCCCAGGGTGCGTGGTGGGGAACGCGCAGTAGATTCTGGGGTGGCTTGTGAGGGGGCGAGGTTGACTCGGGTGTGTCCCAGTACTGTCGGCCGGGCGTGGATAGCGGGTCGGTGGATGCCGAGCTCGCGTTGTCCTATTTCCAAAGCTTCTTTTGGCAGCTTGGCACACCTTAGGTTTGCCTCTGTTTTGGTTGTCTGGGATGCGAGGAGGAAATTTAAAGATCCCTGAAAACACTTGCAGGCTTTCTCGGGGTGTTTTCCGTGCCGGTACGTGCGTGCTCCTTCCTTCTTCCCGGACGGAGAGGTAGAGGCCAGGTGGGCTGGTCGGCTTTCACTCTCTGAGTATTGTTAAAATAAACAAACCAGGAATTCGTCACCCTCCTCCCCACGCCCTGCCCTGTAACTCAACGACAAACATTCCCAACAAGTTTTAAGAAGCAGACTAGAAAATTCTAAGGGATTCTTTGTCTTTGAAATACAGCACTAGTGAGTGTTGCTTTCTTTATGTATATAGAAAATGAGTGGCAGCGGGGCGCATTTTTGGTTATACGAGTACTCATCTTTCAGGGTGTGCCCTAGAGAATTTTAACTTTATATTGGTGTGAAATACTGTGTTAGCTGTGATGTTTTCCTGAAGCACTAGTTTCTGTGAACTCGATCACCATAAAAGCTTAGCTGATTGTTTGCGGGAAGTGAAGTGGATAAATCTATAGTTCCGATAAATCTACAATTTTTTATATGGTCTCTGTTTCTAGCAAACCTTTACGTATTTTTCTCTTTCACAGATTATTTAATCGCCCAACTACCACTGATGAAGACAAGTTGGAGTAACTGCTTGAACTGAATTTTACTGACCAGAAGACAGTCCATTTGTTCCACTTCTTTTTGTTTTCCCTACTGCTTTGAGCTTTACTGTAACGGCTGAAAAACTTGGAAAATAAAATGAACATGCTGTGGTCTTGAACATAATTTTTTTTTTTTGAGGAAAAATTAAAGTGCCAGAGTGAAAGCCAGAATGGCATCCAGAGAGAGGCTCTTTGAACTTTGGATGCTTTATTGTACAAAGGTAATTGCTTTCCTTTTTATTTCTAAGTTTTAAAATACTTTTGTTATAAAATTTTGTGACTGGCCTTATTTTACTTAATGGATAGTAGCATATTTTTATTCATAGTAATGACCCCAAATTTAAAAGCATGGAGTTTTCTGTTTTCCACTTTCCCAGGTTTGAACACATACACAATATTGACACATTTTTAAAACCTGTAGGTATGGTTTTGATATTTTTATTAAGTGATCCCCAAATTATATAAGTAATATTATGACCTTAGGAGAAAAGTAAAATATTTGTTAATGTGCTTTTCTTTTTCTCCCACAAATTGGGGGTGGGATAGAGATATTTTTATGAGCCTTCAGCATTTTTACTATAATTAACCTTTTTAGTTAGCTTTAAAAAGGTTATTGCTTATGTAAACATGTTATTGATTTGAGGTGGTTACTGTAAGCTTGCTGTGATGATAGCACCTTATGAGTGTTGTCTCATTTGACCCTCACAACAATCCTGTGAGATGGGTATTGTAATTATCCCCTTTTGCTGATAAGAGAATTGATGCAGAAGTTAAAGGGGCTATTGAGAAGCAGAACCACCTAAGTCAAGTCCGTGCTTTTATCCATTATGACGCCTTAATATTTTTTATTTTCGCATTCAAAAATAATTTTTTGTGTTTGTCTTTATGTGAGTTTTTACATGTTAGCTTTGATTTTAGGTTATTGGAGGAGAAGGATACTACTTAAAAACATGTTTTTCAAGAGAGGAGCTACAATTACTACTTTGAAGATATTGGCGAGGGTCAGAGAAACATCTCTAATTTACTACTTGAGTTACTTTAAGTCTGTGGTGAAGTTCTCAAGTCTCAGCTTCTGTTTCTGCATTATTCCTTTGGGTTCCTTTTTTATTCAGCTTTTTAAAGAACCAAGTTATTCTTTAACAAACCATCTCAGTTATCTCTAATACTAAATTTTAGAGGTCACACGGGAATTTTCTTTGACTTCCTGGTTTGGTATTTCTTAAGAGTTGCTGAAGGACATCTACTTTGAAATGTTTGATACGGATTTTTAAAATAGCTTTTTAGTCTTGTGTAATTTAATGCCAGAAATGTCTTTTTAAAAATAGACCACTCTTCTAATAAAAAAGGAATCTAATTCACCACTTTTGAAAATAGTCACTAACACATGTCAGCCAAAAATTAAAATGCATTTTAGTATGAATGTCTGGTGGTTTAAAAATGATTTATTTAAAAATACATTTAACTTACTAGGTTTTACATTTTCAGGATGATAAAAGATAAGGGGTTACATTGTGTTATTAATTAGTTATGTTGCTTGTAGGTGGAGTTCCTGTTTTATTTGTCATTGTGCTTATTGAAAAGATAGTATAGGGGCACTTGGCTGGCTCAGTTGGTAGAGCATGCGACTTGGGATCTCGGGGTTTGTGAGTATGAGCCCCACGTAGGGTGTAGAGATTACTTAAAAATAAAATCTTAAAAAAAAAGAAAAGAAAAGATAGTAGAGTTTGTTGGCATACCCAGAGTTTTATTCTTGATGACTTTTAGTATAAATATGAATCTTTACTCCTTTATAATATGGCTAAGTAAATAATGAAGACCCTTCATGGTCAAATTTTAAAGCCTATTTTTGGACAGGAAGATAAATCCCCCCCCTTTTTTTTTATAAATCCCGTTTTTATGTTTAAGATTTAAATCAGGTGGGCACTTAATAAGATTTAAAATTTTTTTCAACTATTTTCAAAAATTGTTATTAAAATAATGATTTTATGTTTCATCAGTTCATGTGTAAGCTTGTAAACTAGACAACAACTGTCTTTTCTACAAACACTTTGAATTCAAGTAGTTTCCAAATATATATCATAGATTTAACACTTCTGCTCCCTGGTGAGGATGATTACCAAATTCCCAGTTGTTCTCTATACCCTCTAGGCTTATTGCTCTCATTCTAGCATATTGCCTTTCAAAACACCTGCCTCTTTTTTTCACCTAACTTTTAAGACTTATTTTTACATCTTTGATGGGTTATCAGACTCCTTCAGGGTTGCACAGATCTTATAACTTAGCTCCAACTTAGACTTTGTGGGCTTGTAATTGTGAAGTTTAGTTTTGGCTCTGCTTCTGTTTTATTTTGTGACCTTGAGCAAGACTTACCTCTTTGGGTCTCACATATTCTCCTATTTCATGTAAGAGTGTGTGTGGTACACATGTATGTGTGTGTATAGGGAGAATGCTTGTCTTACTCACCATTAAGATTTTCATTTGTTTTGGCCTCTGAGGGACATGCATTTGTTTTGTCCTTATGCTTATGGATTGTCATATAGACCTTTTAAGTTCATCTTCTTTTTTAAGCTTTTCCTTATGGAAAATTTCAAGTGGGCATAAATAGAGAAGATAATACAGTGAACCCTTTTGTATCTGTCATCCTGCTTCAGTCCAGTTCATGTTCAGTAATGTTTTCATCTATGACTCTCCACTATCCCTGCATTATTTTATTTTATTTTTTAAGATTTTATTTATTTATTTGAGAGAGAATGAGAGATAGAGAGCACGAGAGGGAAGAGGGTCAGAGGGAGAGGCAGACTCCCTGCTGAGCAGGGAGCCCGACGTGGGACTCGAGCCCGGGACTCCAGGATCATGACCTGAGCTGAAGGCAGTCGCTTAACCAACTGAGCCACTCAGGCGCCCTCCCTGCATTATTTTAAAGCAAATCCTAGACTACATAATCTTATCTATAAGTATTTAAAAGTATATCTATAAAACAAGAACTCTTAAAAACATCATCACGATATGATAATTCTTTGAATCATCAAATATCTGGTCAGTATTCAAACTTCTCTGGTAGTATCATAAATGTTCTTATTCTCCTGCTGTTTGACTCAATATTTAAACAAAGTATACACATCATATTTTGTTGAAAATGTATGTTAAATCTTTTAATCTATAGGCTGTCCTTCACCATACTTTTTATTCCTTCTGTTTATTTGTTGAAGAAACCAGATTTTTTTTTTTTAAGATTTTATTTATTTATTTGACAGAGAGAGGGAGGGAGAAAGAGCACAAGCAGGGGGAACAGTAAGGGAGAGGGAGAAGCAGGCTCTCCACTGCGCAGGGAGCCCGATGCAAGACTCGATCCCAGGATCCTGGGATCACAACCCAAGGCAAAGGCAGATGCCCAACCAACTGAGCCACCCAGGTGCCCAAGAAACCAGGTTTTGACATTAGAGTTTTCCTCAGTCTGGTTTTTGCTGGTTTAATTCCTTGATTTTAATTCATTGTTTTTCCCTCCTGGTGACTGCAAACTGGCAGATCTAGAGACTTGGCTGATTCATGTTCTGTTTGGTGGGGGAAGCTAGAATAATTTGTAAGTGTCTCCACTATCTGTGAGTTTTACCTACATGTATTAATTATTTCATTAGGAGTTTGCAAAACTGTGATATTCCAATTCTATCATTTCTTTATTAGCAGAACATATATAGACAAGTGTTCCCTTATCAGCTGTTTGACAGTTCCTTAAAGGGAAGGCAGGCAGAATAAATATTTGATTATTTCTCTTTGTTTTCAGAATAATGACTTGATTTACTAGCATCCTCCCAAGGTGACCAGTTATTTTTCTTAAGTATCAAGTTCATCTTTTTTTTTAAGATTTTTTTCTTTTTTTTTAAGATTTTATTTATTTATTTGACAGAGAGAGGGGGAGAGCAGAAGCAGGGGGAGCGGCAGGCAGAGGGAGAGGAAGAAGCAAACTCCCAGTTGAGCAGGGAGCGAGATGCGGGGCTTGATCCCAGGATCCTGACCTGAGCTGAAGGCAGACACTTAACCGACCCAAGCGCCCCTCAAGTTGATCTTTAATGATTAAAATTTAAATATTAGACAATATTTAATTTTGCTGCCCATTTTGCTGCCCTAGTTGGTGTGCTATACATACCAAAAATTGTATGCATACCTCATTAAAGAAGATGACTTCGGAGATTTTTGAAAGTCTGCTTCAGAGTGGTAAGGTTAGGACATCCTCCATATTTGCCACAGTGCTAACCAGCATAGGTATTCCACAGTGTATTAGCCACAGATCAATATTAAGGTATTATTACAGGATTTCCATGTAGTGTGATATTTTAAAAGTTACCATTGAGAATTATAAAAGTTTAGTAGGTGTTTAAATAGGGAAATATCAGAAATAATCCTTGGGTCATACTGTTTAGGTAGGCAAAAGAAAAGAGAATATATAAATATGTTTTCTGTTAGTCTGGGTTTGGTTGTAAGCCTAAATACTAGTGATTAAAGTCTTTCAAGTACAATTAAATAAATTACTGGTTTCAGTTTTTAGCAGATGGCTTCCCACATATTACACTTTATATTTGAAAATTTGGGTAAAAAACTTGGCAGTTTGTTTTTCTAACCAAACTTTTCAGGTCTAATTTTTCATTTTCTCCTTCTAGGAATAGGATTTATTGCATTTTAGAAACATGCATCTTCTTAGTAGGTTATTTGTTAACGTCATGTAGTTATTACATAATAGAGGCAGGATGATTTCTGAAGACCCAGCATTCCTGCTTTCTACAGATAATTTCACTAGATTATGTAGTCTGAACTTACCTCCAAATGGTCATAGCCACCCAGGGTTAAGGATTTCACTAACAGTACATTTCATATAGCTCTTATAAGTTAAACATTAATTTGAACAGGTTTAATCATGTATCTGGATTTTAGTTTAATAGTTAACTACTTCTTGTCTGAGCATATTTTTCTTAAGTATTAAAGGCAAATTGATTTACTTTTTAATATCTGAAGATTTTAGTTCATATTATCTGTCATAGGCACCATGTTATTCCCTGTATCCTTTGACATTTTTTTACATAATGTGCTTATGGTAAGAGAGACAGTGCTGAGAACAGTTTTCGTCTCTACATTATCATACAACTTTTTGGAATTCATATATTGCCAATAGCAAGACATAATATGTATCATAAAGTCTCTCAACTCCCTTTGGATAGGCATTAGGATA